TCCTCCTGTGAAAATCCGGGTCTCCTTTCCAGGCTTGTTCTCTGCCGTAGCCTGGCAGCCGGGAGTCGGCTCCAGTTGATTGCTGGAGCTCTCTCTGGGCTTCATTAACATTCTTATCAGTTCCACACCATCAGCCAAGTATCCAGGAGGAATTAAAAGCCACGTTGTGAGTCTGACTTTCTCGGTACACCTGCTGACCTTCCCGATTTTATAGGAGGTGATTTTGGTCCAAGTCCATTATGCTTGTTACCTTCTCCTCCAGTATCTATCCAAGTGTCTCAAACACTGCAGGCCTGCTGCTGCATGTGAAATGACTCACAATCCCCTAACCTCCGCCTGTCTCCAGATCCCCAGCCAAGACCTGAACACTTGCTGCTCCCCTCCACATATGGAAGGCCTCTCCAACCAAACCAAGCGCAGACCATGCAGTTCAACCGCCTGGTGCCACAACAAAGCTAGCACCAATTTCTTTTCCCTGTCTTTGAAACTCCACAGACAGAAGTTTCAGTTTCACTGTTAAAACTGTAGCAACCTTGGGCGAATGAAAACTCTTCCTTCTAAAGTTGGGAACTGTCACGGTTGGTTTCACTGAAAGGAATCATTTTACAGCTCTGGGGTCTGTGCGGCCTATGTTACTACACTGCTGCTTCAGAGATGTTATTAAGGAAGGCAGGAACAACTTGACACTAACGTTTGTTACCAAGTTCATGCCCAGGGAGTGGTCTCTCATACAGTGTAGACACCCTGTGCCTTGAGGGGACAGAGTGAGGTGGTGTAAGATTTCACCATGCTCCTCAGAATGGCATGCAGTTTAAAACTTATAAATTGAGTATTTCTGAAATTTTCCATTTGATTTATTCAGACCACAGCTGACTGCTGGTAACTGAAACCAGAGAAAGTGTAACAGTGAATGAGGAGGGACTGGTCAGTATTCACTGATTGGAAAGCTCGCGCTCTGTGTGTGTGTGTGTGTGTGTGTGTGTGTGTGTGTGTGTGTGTGTGTGTGTGTCTGCCTGTCTGTGTGTGTGTGTGTGTGTGTGTGTGTGTGTGTGCACATGCAATTTTAGTATAAAGAAATGTTAAGAACAGAAAAACCAAATTCAGGTTGCTAATTCTTGAGGGAAAAGCAGGTACTACTAGAGAGGGTTCAGTAGCAAATTGCAAGGATGTCATCTGACTGTTGGTTAAATATTTGGAAATAGTTCATTGATTGATATCTATTGTTCCTCTGTTCCTGGAGAGCTCGTTAACATACACAGTAATGTATGAGAGATTCTCCTAGCATGAGAAAAAAGTACTTAAAATATTTGTCTTAGAAGAGATTTAGCTAGGATTTCAGAGTATAACTCAACAAATTCTTTTAATTAATATTTTATCTGGCAGGAAATATTTATGAGACATTACCAGCCTCATAAATGCAAATGCAATTTCTATAAATAGGAGAAAAACTAATTTCCTGTAAGTGTCATATTCTAAAGAGGAAAACATTAACTGTGAATTCAGCTCCTGCTCATGAAAGAGGGGAAGAGAGGTACAGAGGAGACACAGAGGAGGTGGTCTGCACACTAATTAACCGTGATAACACACACGAGTTCTGCTACTTTCTTGTGCCTCTCTTTAATTTCCAGACAATGAAAGACACACTTAGCACCTTGCAAGCTCTCTAAGTAGTGCTGCCCCCTGTCCTCAGATGCCATCTGGGCAGAAAAGTCCAGAACACCCTAAGTCTGCAAATTTGTGAACACTAGTCAGGACTAGAATCCCACCCACCACTTCTCATTTTTCAGGCCCAGGCTAAAAACCGGACATGGATTTTCCTGTCTCTGGTTTACGTTCCCAGCATTGAGAGAATATTGTCAAAGAAGTACTGCCCAGACCATCCTGTTTTGTTACAAATTCTGCCATGTTCCGTCAAGAGGCAGACAGAACACCATGTTCTCTATACTAATCCAAAGAACACCGTGTTCTCTACACTAACCCAAAGGCCACTGCTGCTACAGGATGGAACATGGAGCCAAGGCTCAGCAAATGCTTCAAGTGCGCATTAGCTGGATCTCAGGGCAACACAGCTTCTCATGATAACTAGGAAATCAAAGAGTTAAACACTCCTATGGAGTGTTGAACCAGCACATAATGGTCATTCTGGCTAGTTTTGGGTGAACTTGACATAAGCTAGAGTCATCTGAAAGGAGGGAACCTCAATTGAGAAAATTCCTCCATAAGATCTGACTGTAGGACGTTTTCTTATTTAGTGATTGATGAGAGAGGGCCCGGCCTGTTGTGAGTGGTGCCATCCTGTACTGGTGGTCCTGGGTTCTATAAGTAAGAAAGGCTAAGGGCTGGAGAGATGGCTCAGAGGTTAAGAGCACCGACTGTTCTTCCAGAGGTCCTGAGTTCAATTCCCAGCACCCACATGGTGGCTCATGACTATCTGTAATGAGATCTGGCGCCCTCTTCTGGCCTGCAGGCATGCATGCAGACAGAACATTGTATACATAATAAATAAATCTTTTTTTTTTTTTTTTTTTTTTTTTTTGGTTTTTCGAGACAGGGTTTCTCTGTGTAGCTTTGCGCCTTTCCTGGGACTCACTTGGTAGCCCAGGCTGGCCTCGAACTCACAGAGATCCGCCTGGCTCTGCCTCCCGAGTGCTGGGATTAAAGGCGTGCGCCACCACCGCCCGGCATAAATCTTAAGAAAGAAAGAAAGAAAGAAAGAAAGAAAGAAAGAAAGAAAGAAAGAAAGAAAGAAAGAAAGAAAGAAAGAAAGAAAGAAAGAAAGAAAGAAAGAAAGAAAGAAAGAAAGAAAGAAAGGCTAAGCAAGCCATGATGAGCAAGATGAGCAAGCCAGTAAGCAGCACTCCTCCATGGCTTCCTCATCAGCTCTTGCCTCCAGTTCCTGCCCTGTTTGAGTTCCTGTCCTGACAACCTTTGGTGATGGACTATGACGTGAAAGCTTAAGCCAAATAAACCCCATCCTTTTCCAACTTGCTTTTGGTCACAGTGTCACATCATAGCAATAGTGACCCTAACTAGGGACAATGAGATGAGCACAAAGACAAAGTCCCTTGAGGGACAGACAGACAGATTTCTTGGGTAACAGAGTAGGCCACAGTGAGTAACCAGGGGCAGGTGCTGGCCTGGCGGCACTTAGCTCTGTTCCTGGGCAGGCTAGGACGGTGGCTCCTTGGTGCTGCTCTCCGGCAAGACTTTATAGTTGCACATCAGGCCCAGTGATGGGCATATTTCTTCTTGTCATTCAATAAGCCAGATTCCTTGTCATGGCCACCATTCATGTGATACATAGTCTCCTAAACACAGGAGCCAGGGCCTGGGCATACACAAGCACAGTCAGGCTGTGTTCGCCTTAGGAGCCAAAGACAGCTTACTCTAAGTCTAGTATTTGGGGTGTTGAACCCCAAAGGCTGGGTAACAGACAGAGAGGGGCTAGAGTTAACTCCACTGAGTTTGATAGGCTCCCCTGAAGGCACCAGCAGACAGTCACCTGCTGCCTCTCCCCAGACAGCAGCCCTCCCTGTGTAGAGTGACATTTCTGTCTTTCCTATGGTTCACAGGAATCGAAGAATAGAGTTCTCTTTGCTCAAGGCCAGGAGTCCACACAAGAGGGGGAGTGGGAGTTTCAGACAGCAAGAAGGATCTGGGCTGCATAGAGATAAACAATGGATCCCGGAAGGATGTTCAGCCTCCAGAGCGGCAGCCAATGGAGGATATATATGGAGAATGTCGAACAGAAAATGAAATAAAATCGGGAGATCTGATCAGATGCAGAGAACGTGGATACAGAATAATGTTCAAGAAGAGGACCGGAAGGTGGGTGGGTTTGTGTTTAGTGAAACACGGGGATTCAGGAGTGTGCCATTAATACCATTATTGTACAGCTTTCTGTTTAGTATACTTATTAATACAACAATGTACGTAGGACTTCATTTCAGAAATGACATTGTATTTTTAATATTTTATATAAAAAGCCTTTGGGAAGAGACAGGGAAGTGGGGCAGTGAGAGTTAAGGCCAACCATCTTACCCGGAGACAGTTCGGGGTCTCACGTGTCGTTCCATGAAAGGCCACTTCCCTGTCATTCCAACCTAGCTATAAGTTGCTTAGGAGAAGGGGCCTAAGGAGAATGCCCCCAAAACAGACCCATTTCCCTTCTCTCTTCTCTAGACTTTCACCTCCAGCCAGAGGTTCAGACCGTCAGAAGACGGTCCAGCTACAGGAGCCAAACTCATCAGCATCAGGATATAGCTTGAGGTGGCGCCAGGACTATGACTCCTGACTTCCCTAGGAAGGTCCCCACCTGCGGCATTGGCTCTCTGGAAAGGCACGGAAGTTCTGTCAACACCCCCTTCAATGCGCCCCAGAGTGACTGCGCAGTCCCTGCAAGGCTCTGAGCCTGCATTTTTCCGCCCTAAGAGTTTCTCCTGTCTGCTCCTCCACACCCTCTAAACGTAGGCACGCTGGTGCTCACACAGTCGCGGGGGCGCTTACACACGTACAAGGGGGGAAACACACGCGCGCGATCACACACACACAGGTACACGCGAGCCTTTTCACATATACAAGGGAGGCTCTCACACACTCACATCCACCGGTGCAGGTCTCGGACCCTCACATCCGAGTGGCTAGATGCAAAGGAGCATCACCAAGGAGGTCCAGGAGGAAGGTGGCGAACCAGGGGACAAGAGAGTAAGGTGGAGGCTGCTAGCTCGCTCCGATCAGCCTCCAGCACCCGACCCCTTGCCAAGTGACTGCGACCCCGGGCACCAACAGCCCCCACCCATCTCCACTACCTGTCCCATTGTGCATGCATCTCCCCCATTACTGCCTTTCCTTGTTGTTCTCCTTTGCCTGTGGCCCTTTAAATCGCGTTCTTATCTAGAGATTCAATTGTAGGGGGACAGAGGGAGGAGAACCCAGGGGGACGGGAGGGGATGGGGCGGGAGAAGAGAGAAGGGCGGGGAGGAGAGGGACAGCAGTGAGCTTCCTGCTGCTCTCTCTAGCTAGAAGGGCGAGGCAGACCCGTGAAGGGGCGGGAGGTTTAGACGCTTCTGCCCGCAGGACTCGCGACTCGAGAGTAGCTCAGGGCAGCTGCCAGGAGGTCGGCAATGCCTGAGGCTAGGGAATCCCCGGGAGAGCCCTGAGCGCCACCTGCACCGCCTAGGAAGGACGGCCAGAAGTTAGCCCCAGGGGTTCAGAGACGCTCCCTCCTCTACAAGTAAGTTGTCTCCTTTTCCCTTGCATCCCTCCCCAGCCCAGCGACTCCCCAAGCCGGACTGGCGCCGGGGGTCCTTTGGTTCTGAAAGCAGGCTCACACCCACCCCGCACCCCAGAGCCTGCTAGGTTGAGACGGGATGGGAACAAGATCCCGAGGTCCAAAGTTCAGCAAACCGGAGCTGGCCTTAGCCGCTCGCCGCCCGCCCCGCGATGAGGAGTCCAGCCTCCCGAGGACTGTAAACGCCCCCGCTCCCGGCGCCAGACCCGGATACCTGGGCGCCCGAAACCTTCCATCTTAGGCTTGCCCGGCCAGGCTGTGGGAGGAGATAAAGAGAACCTTGCTCCCATTAGCAGCTCTGCCTTCAAGTAGGGGCCGAGATGGCCCGGTGAGGCGACCCCCTGAACCTTAGACTCTCGGCTGGCTTCGGCTGCTTGCTTTCTGATCAAATTGGGAAGCCTCTCTCGTGGTGCTAGCCCTCCCCTCTGCGCTGGCCGCTACCTACATGCTTTCTTTCTTTTTAAAACACCTTTGCCATTATTAAAAAAAAAAAATGGTTGAAGATAGAAGCTGGAGGAGCGTGAGCACACTGCCATAGTACTTTTTGTTTTTATTTTTTTTGGATGAATGTCTCTCCCTGAAGATCTGCCCTGTAGCCCCTGGTTCTGTCAGGGCTTCCCTCAAATGCAAGGGCAGGCCACTGGGAGTGGGGCTCTTCTGTTCTTGGGGCCGTGGAACAGACTTGGATTAGTGCTGGCTCCTCAAAATTCCACAGGATACCCCCGAGAGCGAGTGGAAGCTCTAGCCTGCCCAGTGTCCGTACTAAGAAACGGAGACCCTTTCAAATACAAGATGACCCGCGGGAATATGCATGTTTACGAAGAACGCTTTGACTCCTCTCAGTTAAGCAGGGACTACCATTCCTATCCTACAGGTTAGAAACGGTAGCCCAGGGCGGATGAGTAACTTGCTTGTAGTACACTGCGTATGACAGGAGATTCTCATCTGTATCTGTCTCCAAATCGTACACACCCATTCTTGGACATAAGCAAGCTGCCTAGTTCACAGAGCACGTCCCCCCCCCCGTGGGAAAGTGGGGGAAAGCAGCTACTATTTATGGGACAGGGGTGCTGAGCTGAGACAGGGTCTTATGAGTTAACCTGGACACAGGTCCTGTAAGGCGGAGCTTGGTTTTCCTGTTTCTCGAAGGAACTAAAGCAAAAGGAACTCGGGCCCTCAAGGGCACTCCTAATCGTCTCCGTCCATGCCTTTGCTTAGACACAGTCTCCTCTGCCTCCATCGTTATTTTGTTCTGAGAGATGCGGTACCACTATATAGCTGCTGCTCACTGCGTAGACCAGGCTGGCCTTGAATTCAGAGACCAGCTCACCTCTGCCTCTGGAGTTCTGGGATTAGAGGCATGACCCGGGGTGCCCGGTTTAGGTGAATGTAGTCTTAAATCCCATCCCGGGGTTTCCTAGGCTGAGGTAGGTGAACAGAACAGAATGATGCTGTGGGATTTAGAAGAGGATTGAATTAGGTTCCAACATAAAAGGGTTGGCTAGACTCCTTGGGATCGTAGACTACTGAACAGGTCTTACAGGGCAAGGGTCTGCTTCCATAGGGAGTTCTAGGGCTCAGGGTGTGCTTGGGAGCACAACTGAATCAGGTCACCACTGGAGGAACTGTCGCAGAAATAATTTCATCCTCCAACAACACCCAGCCATCTTCCCCAGACTTACTACCTAGCTTCCCAACAGAAAAAGGGCCCAACACTCTGGCATTGCCTCCCCAAGACAGCTACCAACTGCTGGCAACTCAGAAACAGCATTTCTTGCTTAGGAGCATGTCTGTTTTAAGCATAAAATGAGTGCGTTCTATGCTCCATCTAGCAAGCAGGTCAGCTGTGGGAGGAGGGAAGACGGGAGGGAGGGCAGGAGATGGACTGGGCTAGTCATCCCCTCTGCCCAGAGCTGTCTGCCTCTGTCCAGAGCTGTCCTGAAGCTGAAATACTTACTCTGTATAAAGTCAGGTCTCAGCAGGATTCCCCAGCAAAGATTCCCCTGAGGCTGCCTTCTGAGTCCTGGGCATGCAGAACATCTCTCTGTAGGTCCCATAGACACATCAATGCGTCCCTGTGACTATATCTCATTGGCCTTACTTCCTCTGGTGCTCTGCAACTGTGTAACTGGGTTTCTAGTCCATCAGTTGAGGAGCCTTCTAAGGCTGCTGTAGACATCTGTGATGAAGTTTACCCCACAGCAGGGGGCCCAGTCTTCAGTTTCCACTCACTTTTAAGGTGCTAGGGATTCTGCATGCCTTCCGGGGCCAAGCCACTGGAACGTATGCTGGAAGTTCATATACTTGAACACTCCATCCACTTCTGAATGTTATTTAAAATCGGTTCAGCAGTCAGTTGATTTCCTAGCATACGTCAGGAATAGATAATTTTTGGAGTCTTTTGAATGTAATCAAAGCAGGGTTATTTTCCATTAAGGACATTAGCTAAAGCTTGCCTGTATTTTCCAAGCCTAAACTGACCAGACTTTTAGGCAGGGAGTGGAGGACAACGGAAAGAAGTTGAGTGGGGGCAGGAATCCATGGGTGGCTCAGTGGGCCCATTTTTAGATTAAGCTTTTCACTGTGTGAACTGGTCACTGAGAGGCAGTGTTTCTGAAGGGGCCCATCGTCCACTGTCTGCTGAGACATTTGTCGGCTATAGAGAACATTTTCCTTCTTTCTTTCTTCCTCTTCTTCCCCTCTAGAGACAGGAGAATGAGAGTTCAGATACAAAGAATTACAGGGAGAAATTTGAACAATATTACCTAAATGTATTTTTTTCTTCAAAGCAGCTTAGGAAGTGGCTTTCTCTGAAATTGTTTTTAAAGTGAGGAGAGGAACCCAACGGAAGGGACTGGGTGGCTATCCTGGGTGTCTAGTTCCTCCTACCTCGACTTTCTGATAAGGGAGCTATTCTTGTCAACAGAGTCCAGGGTAACAGCAACCTTTGCCAAGAGCTGTGTTAAAACTAAATGTCAGAAGCAAACCTTCAACACACGACCCTGGAGATCCTGGCTGGAACTTAAATGTTAAGTTCTGCTGTCATTTGGGACCAGAGCAGGCTGGGGGGAGCAAAGGTCAGGGTTAATCTGACCAGTTAGCAGATAGCAACAGCACTTCCTGGTCACCAACGACAAACCCATAGGCTGACCAGAGTCTGGGCGAGATGATGAAGGGGAAGGAGTTGGGTTGGGTTTGGTGGGCACCTCTTCATGGCCCTGACTTGGCTCTTGAGGCTGGGAATGCTACCTCTCTCTCTCGGCTTCTCTCACATTCCAGGCTCCCACTCTCACAAGCAGGGAGACCAGGGTGCAATTATCTTCCATCACCTCTTCTGCTCAGAAGAAAGGGGGAAAGCAAGAACAGAGGACTCAAAGATGAGATCTGGGGCCAAGCCTCTGTTCTAAGATTCTGTCCCTCGTCCATCTTGACACCAGCTCTGGTCTCTCAGAATTTGATATTTGAACTTGGTGGGAAATGGGTCAGAAAAGCAACTGCATGTGGTACTGCCTCTGTGCCAAGAAGGTGGCTGTCTTTAGTGAAACAGAAGCCATGGGCATCCCTAGGGTCCTTTCATAGGAAGGCTGTCATGACAACCAGCTGACTTTCACAGCAGCCACAGAAACCCCACTGACCACGCCAAGGTCTTTCCTACCCTGGTCAGATGGGCTTGGTTGTTTTGTAAACCAATCTTCATTACACGAACTAAAAAAAATCACTCACATCCCTTCAAAATACGAGTGAAGCCCCTGTCCTGTGCAAGCATTTGAGACAGAAGGTGGGCTCATTTACACACTTGCCTGCCCTACCCTGGGAGAGGGTATAAATTAGAGCCGAGCTGGGAAGTGACAAGGAGACACAGGCAGAGAGTCCCTACAAGGACAGCCTCAACTAAGGGATGCAGGGAAGGCTTCTATGGGGCCTGGCAAAAATAGATCTTCTGGTGGCAGGTGAATGGCTTGGCGAGTGGCCTGTAGACACAGGACAGTAAGGGAACAGGATGGAAGAGCAGGGGCTGAGAATTGGAGCCTGGGGCTGGCTGGGCTCGGGGTCCAGCACCGACTCAAGTATGGCTCTCCCTCCACTTCTCATAAACACTCACACCAACACCATTTTGTTTCCCCCTCCCTCCCCCTCTCCCCGCCTTCCCTCCCTCCCTCCCTCCCTCCTCAACCTGGATCTTTCATCCTGTCTGCTCTGACTGCTTCCTTACTCTTCTCTGACTACACCTGCCCTTCGGGCTTTCATAACCCAGTAGCTTTTTTTCCTTTCTTTTCTCCTTTTTTCCACTACATCCATCACGCTCTCATTCCCTTTGTTAATTTTTTGCTTACTCTTTAGATCATTGTAGACTCGTGCGCAGTGTAAGAGATGACCATCAGAGCACTGCTCCATATCTTCACCCACTGTCTCTCAACAGTAACATCTGGCAAAACTGGCCAAATGGTCGCCAATAAAACTATGCCTACCTACATATGGACCTGCTGAGTGTGGCCTCATTCTCACCACACAGGTTCGGAACCACCCTGCCCTCTCCTCGGCCCTGGCAGGCACTCTTCTGCCCTCTATTTCAATCTTTTTTTTTTTTTAATATCAAGAATATAATAGAAATAGGATGACACTTTTGGGTTTGACTGTTTCCTCTCAAAACATTTACCTGGAAATTGTATTCTTCTGTGTATATGTATGTTTGTATGTATATATGTATGTATGTGGATGTTGTTGGTGAGAGTCCATTATATGAAAATATGACAGTTTATTTAACCACCCACCCATTAAAAGACATCCGAGTTTGTCCCAGTTCGGAACTATTATACAATGCTTCTATTAATATTGATGAACTGACTTTATATGAACATAAGTTTTCAATTCTCCACAATAAATGCCCAGAAATATAACTTCTGGGTCATATGGTAGTGGTAGGTTTAGTTAAAATTTTTCAA